CGCCGCCTCCCGCGTCCAGCGCGGGGCCGTCGGGAGCGGAGCCCTGCCCGGGGTGGGGAGGGGCAACGGTTCCACTGCGACTTGCACAGGGGCAGGGGGGAGGGGAGCGCAGCCCTGGCAGAGGAGAGGAAGGCAGAACTGGGCAGGGAGCAGGAGAGGTCCAGAAGAGCAAGAGGGGCTGGAGCCCCTCCCCGCCCAGGCCATGCCCCGGAGACAAACACCAGCCCCGGTGCTCCCAGCTCCGCAGCATGGGCCACTGTCCCCCTCCGCACGGGGCCGGTGGCCGGCATGTGGTGGCCGGTGGGTGGCAACCCAGAGCAGCAGGGAGGATCGGCAGGCACTTCCCCGGAGTTCCCCCCCCCGAGCCTTAAACTCCAGGCTGGGTGGTAGAAGGGGCTGCTCCAGCCCCAGGCAGAGGCACAGAGGAGGTGGCAGAGGAGCCTGGAGAAGGCAGGGGAGCAGGCCTCCCTTCCCCCTAGAGGGGGCGAGAGCTCAACCCCTCTGCAGCTGGAGAACCAGCCCCCACAGACAGCAGCTCCCAGAAGGGGAAGGCAGGGGACACCAAGCACAGTATGACCCCCCGGGCTAGGGCCCTGGAGACATACGGGATCAGTGTCCCCCCCCGGCTCTCCTGCGCAGCAGGGCCCAACAGCTCCCAGGACAGGGCTCCCCCGTCAGTCCTTGACCCAAGACTTCACCGACGGGGGGACGCAGATCTCCGCCTGGGAGGAGAGGAGCAGTGTCAGCACCCTGCCTGGCAGCCGCCCCCCCTCCCTGCCTCCCTGGGGTCTGCTCACCTCAGAGCCTAGAGCTCAGGCTGGCCGCCTTGGCAGGATGAGTGGCTGACCAGAAGCTGCGCTTGGCCTGCAGCTGTTGGAAGGGGTTGGACTGTCTCTTCCGCTCCCTCTTCAGTTTTTTAACCTTCTTTACCTGTGGAGAGGCAGGCAGGCTCTTGGAGTCAGAGCGCAGTCCCCTGCCTCCCCCCAGCCCCAGACACAGCCAGCACCCACCTTCCCTTTGTCATAGTCCTCGTCCCACTCATCGATGACAGTCCCGCTGCAGGCCCACGCTGCTTCCTGAATGGCATCCTGGCTGACGGCTGAGGCCTCACCCTCCCAGGTCAAGACTGCAGAGCAAGCAGGGTCAGCAGGGAGCACCGCATCGTGCTCCACTGCACCCACCTTGCGCAGGGCCCCCACCCCAGGCCGGCAGCTGGAGCCCCTCACTCCAGCACCCCACTCTGTGGCACCCCCAACAGCCCTGCAGCCAGGTGCATCTGCCCAGCTCCAGGAGCCCCCACAGCTGCCTGTGCTGGTGCTGGGGGGAGCCCAGGCCCTGGCAGAGCACAGAGGGCTCTGCCCGCGTCCAGGGCTCAAGGCAGGGGAGCCGCATGGCTGTTTACCCACCTAGGCAAGCAGGGATTACCTTGTTTGCCATACGCCTTGTCCAAGGAGTTCTTAAGCAGCTCCTCTACCACGTTGGCCTCCTCCTGGCTCCCAGGTGCTGTGCCAGCCACACGGCTGGGCTCGGGGCTCAGGGCAGCTGGGCAGATCCTGCTCCCTTCTCCAGCCTGGTTGTCCCAGGCACACGCTGCCACTGCGGAAACAGGAGAGGTGAGGACAAGCCAGAGGGAGCTCCTGTGTCACGCCATCTCAGAGGCAGATCTCGCCCCAGGAGCCACTGTCGGGACGAACAAGGTCCTGACGGCGCAGGGCGTTTGGGCACACTAGGGCCTGGTCTGGGCAGGGAGGAACTGGGGGTAAATTTTCACCCCTCAAGGGGCCCGTCTCCACGAGTCTGGAGAGGAGCACACCCTCATCTGGGGTACAACTGGGCAACTCTCCTGCATGAGCAGCAGGCAGTCAGCCGAGGACAGCAGTCAGAAAGACGGGCACCACCAGGCAGTCGTGGGGACCAGCAAGCACCGGGGACTGGACACCAGTGCTCTGAGGGTCTGTGTGGGCAGACGAGCAGCCAGCTCACCCCTGCCAGGCACCAGGCAGGGTGGAAGCATATGGAAATACCTGGGGTGCTGTCCGCGGCACGGACGCCGTTGGCAGGCCGCTCCAAGGCTGGGGTGCTGAGGCTTTTCCTCCACTTACGCTTGCGGTGTTCACTCTCCCCAGCCTCAGCCTCCACCCTCCGCCGCTGGGGCTCTGTCTCAGCCCTCCTAGAGCTAGGGAAGGCAGCAGGGGTCAGCTCACTCTAGCCAGACCAGAGGGGGAAGAGTTTGAGCTCCCCGCAGGGCAACGGGATGCAGGGACACCCACACCCCAGCGCTGCACTCAGGGAGGGGTGAAAACACCCCCTGGCACAAGCCAGTGCTCCAGATGGCTCCATGGCAAGGCTTGTCCCACCCACAGAAAGACGAGATGCACCCGACTGCAGCCCAGGGAGCCCGACTTCAGTCAGAGCAGAGGTGCACAGGGCTCTCACGTGCCCCCTGGCCCCTCACCTGCCCGAGGACAGTGTCCCAGAGCAACGGTCTTCTATCTCCTCTGTCCTCCTCCTTTTCTTCCTCTTCTTCACAGAGGAGATGGGCAGCGTGTCCAGGAAAGTGCTGCAGTCTGACACTGGCTGGG